GGACAGACTTGATATCAGCACTTCAATTATTTTATCAAGAATTGTTGGAACAGGTCCTTAAAATCTGGGGACCATTATCTGTTATTAATACCTTCAGAATATTATACAGAGAAAAACCAGAGATTAGAGTATGCTTTAGAGCTGCAGTCTGTGTGCTAGGCAATACCTCACCAATCAAAGAAGGGCAATCCAATTCTCCTGATTCAAACAGATTTGTATGACTTTGCAACAGCTGAGAAGACAACACCCTTGTTCTCTGGTTCTTGTATCACTTCAGATTTTGCTTTCAGGCAATTTCCAACATATACATATAGGAATCTTTGCCTGGTGAAAATCAGGAGCAGACACAGCCCTAGCCACGTGCTTTTACTTCCCAAATGATGAACAATAAGGATATCAGTATTTCCAGTCTCACGCTGTCTGGCAGGACAACGTCTGGCTCCTTCATATATACTTTATGTCCTACCTTTTACACTGGGAACAGGTTCATCTTCTCTAAGTGACATGCACCCCAGTCAAGAGTCATTTCATGACTCTCTTAAGTCTGTTAAAATTTACTCAAGCAGTTTTCACATCATATTCACTCTCAGTAATTCATGCTGCAGCTCTTCTATTAATAAACAGCAGGCACAGACAGAAGCATCTCTTTTACAAGAAACTCTATTATGTCACCTCTGGACTTAGGTTACATGCTCTGCTCACTCCTGGCATTTGTCACACAATACAGCATACTATTTGGGATAAAGAAAAATGTTTGAACGTTGAACTTCAAAATGTTCAGTGAATGCCATAGCTCTTCAGCTATGATAGTAGGTTTTAGGTGGCCAGTACAAAATTATTTTTATGTGGCAGAATGGCTTCAGCAGGGAGCTGACTGCAGACTTAGAGCAGTGGTAAATTGTTGCCTGTCATTTTGCTATATAAATGAGGAATATCCAAGAAACCTTAATTTTTCAGATGTATATTAAGAATGTTCAAAATCTCTTGCACTTCTGTAGTTTTCTTCTCTGCTCCATTTGTTTCCTTATGGAGGAAGACAGTTACCCAACTCACAAGCTGTACTTATGGCCTAGCACTAGTGATAGTACCTCTGGGAAATGTTATCTGTTGTTTTGAAGATGAGATCACAATAATTTGTCCTCTCCTTCAAGATATCTACTCAAAGTTACCACATGCAACCCACCCTTTGTCTGCAATGCTCGTTTCTTCCATTCTGTTTATGACCTCAGTAAACAATGAGTAATTGTCCTGAATCATATGCCAGTGGTTCAGTGTGGGCAAAGAACTAGAATGAAGACAAGAGAACTGGGCAGCATAGACCTTTGAGGAAAACAGGCAAATGAGTTCACACGAATTACCATCAATTTCTCCCAGATAAGCAGTTCTGAGCAATTTATTTTTGTTTAATCCTAGTATATGTATGTAAAATATTTAGTATGTGATACATACACAGACAAATGAAATTCATCTGTAGAAATATACAATTGGCCTCAGTCATTATCCAGGCAACATAAAACATTTAGATTTATAATAAGCCTGAAACACATTTTCAAGACCTCATCACACAATTTCTCACAGTTCCGTCAGATTATGATTCAATTCACTATTGTGGGGTTGGTGGCTTTTTTTTTTTTATTATTTTTTTTTGCATAAAGGCAGACAAAACAACAGCCTCATGCTATTAAAATACCAGGAAAAACGTTGTCAAGAAAAATGAAAAGGTGCCAATCTTTTTTCAGTTCTGCAGAACTAAAGGTTTAAGTGCACCTTCCATCAAGAAATTTTTGGAAAAAAACTTGCTGGGACTAATTAATCCCTAATTGTCAAATTCTTGGATGGAAAGATTTGGTGATAAAGTGCATACAAACCACAGACACTGTGCTAACTGATTCTGTTCTGAGTGGAGCAAACTGACTGGTGGTGATTGAATTGTACATACACATCCTCCCCTTGCTCCCTTGCAGAAGGCAGCTTGAGCTGTGCTGGAAGAACCCAACAGGAGTGGGAGTCATTCCTGCCATCAGTAAAAAAGAAAGAATCCTGCTTATCAACTTGCAGCTTCACAAAGACAGCTGCTCTCCAGCTCCCAAGTCCACAAATTACAAGGTTATATCAGAATATAAACTGAGGTATATTTTTTGTACAATTTTCCTGACAAAACCTTATGTTATGTGCTATTAAATGTGTTATAAATTATATATTATATAAATTAATTGGAACATCTCATGTCAATTCCACCCCTCAGCTTAGTTTGAGAGCTAAGTAGAAAAGACAGACTGTTTTCACACAGTACTAAAATAAACAGAAAGACCAGGCACACTTGAAAAATCAACTCAAAACCATTTTTTAGAACGTCACACAGAGTAGCACAAGACATTAGTTATGATGATTGTAATTAGCACCCAGACATACAAAGTCAATACTACATTTCCTCAGCTCGTAACTGCATTGTACCACAGGACAAGTGAAAAAAAGCGAATTGTGGAAATATTTTGCCTTGTTTCAGTAATCTGTCTCTCAGTCACTTGTTTGTTGTTTTTTTTTTTTACTCCCCTAAAACACTGTAAGTGGAACAGCATCTCTTAAAAACTACCGCATATGCAGTCTTTAGGATCTTTCACTACTCCATTTTTCAAGGCAAGAGAGCTTAAGTTTGAAAAGGAGCAGCAGCCATTCCACCCCTCTTGCTCCAATCTGACCAACAGACTTCAGCAAGGGGATGGGGTACTCTCCAATCCCTCTATTTTCAGCCCTCTTCCCCTACAGGCGTCCTCCCTCCAGCTGACCAGCACTTCTGCAATGCTCCCCCATTTAATCCCTGCCCTCAGAGGCACTGCACAGAGGTGACTGATTGCCATGTACCAAATTATCCTGGCCTGCCCAGGGACAAGACTCCTGCTTGCTCTCCATGAACCATGTCAGATCTACAGAGACAAAGCCACCCACACATTTCCTTTGTAGCTTAAGACTGATCATACACAAAGAGCAGATCTATCAAGGCAGATACACAGTGGCTTTTGAGAGCAGAATGGAGTGGAAGATTAGGAAATCACCTGTAATAATTCTTCCCTTTCTAGTCTGAATTCCTAAGAGGCATTTTCTTCTCTTCCAGAGCCATTGTCCTCCCTGTAAGGGCTCAGCTGTTAATGTCACTATCTTTTGAAACAGGTCATGATAATGGCAAGCTAGCTTTGGGCATATTGCTTCAAGCTCATTAATATGCATGTTCTCTCTCCTTTCATTTGTTTCTGTATTTACTTTGAAGTTGCCTAGCTGGAACCTGCATTGCTTTTCTGCATTAAGACTCTTGGCTGGCATTTTTCAGCTTGCTGCATCTGGTTTTTGTTGATTCTGTGTTGTGTTTTGTTGTTTTTTTTTTAATCTAGGTTGGAAATGGAACAGAATATTGCAAAAGTCAGTTAATAGCACATCAAGTGACATTTGGTGCCCAACTGAATGCATTTCTTGGCCTCCTCACCCTCTCCACTGAGAGATGTTCTTTCTACTTGCTCTCAAACTGACTTTGTTTACATTGCAAATTTTAGGGCAAGTTACATCTCTGTATTTGTCAAGCACCTGCCTCAGGGGAGAATAGCTCTTCATTGTGCATCCACAAAAAAATAACAACACCTGGGTTACCATAAGGCTCTTTTCTAAATGTCTCTTCCACCTGAAAGAGCTATTTCCAGCATGGGAGGAGAAATCAACTTTGACTCAGATATCAAATTCTCAGTATGATAAGGAAAAGTGATTCAACTGTCTTCTTTTATTTTTGGCTTTGTGATTCGGGAGCAGTTCATTGTTCAGATGACATAGTCATAACTGAATTTCTGTGAGGGGGAAGAGTAAAAGCATTTATATAATATTCAGAGGTCATTTTATATTAATATCTCTCCCAAACAGATTAGTCTCAACCTTGTACGCTGCAACAGGTCCACGTCCACGTCATCTAAGGTTATTATGGGGTGAAAGACTTGGACATACTATTTTCCTCAGAATACCCACAGAAATAGCCAGTTAGCTAGTTCTTCTTGAGGATGCAGGTCATGACAAGGTAGCTCTGCTTCCTACCAAGTCCATTCCTAGCAAATTTGCAAACACACAGCTTTCTTGAGTCCTCCCTACAAACAACAGTTTCTTCTCAGCAGGTAGCCATTATAAAAGCAAAGAACATATCCTGAAATGTGTGAGGGGAAGAGGCCAGGAGCAAAACATCAAGCCTGTCTAAGCAGAGAGTGGAGCTGTCTGATTATATAAATTTGCTGGCCTCTTCTGGAAGGCTACAGGAGGAAAAAAAAAAAAAAAGAAAAAAAACAGGTACAAACTCCTTTTTCAGCAGACTCTAAAACACTGCTAAGACAGTGTATCAAAACTATGATAGTTTAATAGAACTTTTATTGAATCTGCTTGTAATAGTGTCCAGTTAAATTGATGAAATACAAAATTCAGCTCACAGCCACTGGCTGAGGCAGTTGACCACAGTCTAGATCTACTGCTGCTTAATCTTGGCTTAGTAACTACATATTCTCCAACAGGAACAGTAGTAAGGATGTAAAATCATTTTAAAATCCATCACACACTACAATGCAGTGAGCATCTGCAAGACTGATAAGTGAATGCAGGAACAGCAATGCTAAGAGCCAAAGTGGCCACCTGTGGAGGAACTAACAAAGCAGAGCTGAGAGTGTGCACCAAAATATTTTCTTCTATTTTTTTTCCCCCCAAAATTACCTTACTTACTTGTTTTCAGTACCTTAAAGCAAACAAAATCCATTTCAGTGAACCCTTGAAACTGGATTGTTGAAACTGGATTACCCAAGCATTAGCGTGTTTAGCTTTGCTCCTAATAAAAACAATGGGAAAAGACCTAAAGCTCTGTGATTGTCACAGCACAGTCACTCATAATTCGAACCAGCTCTGGTAAAAACAATACATGTCACTTCATTAATCAAAAAGGATGACAGGTAAGAGAGAGCATGCTACAGAACAATTTAACTCACGGTGGCTAATTTCTGAACATCTTCATCAGATGCTCCCAATGAAGCGAGTCCTATCTCTTGTGAAAACTGGGCAAACTTAGGATCAGCAAGTAGAGGCACATGTCCCAGAAGTTCATGGCATGTATCCCTAGAGGACATGGGAATGAGAAGAGAGCCATTACAGGAATAAATGCTATCGTAATTCCATAATCAATTTAACATAAACCATTTTGGTCAGACCTCTACTCAAAATGTCTTATCACAAAACATATTTTTTACATTATGGTTCTTCCCTGTGCACAGTTCTACATAAAGACATGAGTTTATTTCTATTAAATGGATTAGCACCACTTTTTCCATGATTTCCCCATCGTTTACAGACTAACTGGAAGGCACAATCACTGCTGTCTTTCAGGCTTAGTTCCATGAAGAGCAAATTGCTTGTCTTACGATACAGTTTACAGCAATTCTATCCGCATGAATCAAGTTCAAAACCCAACACAAACTCTTCCTCTTCTCCATTCCCCTTTCCACATCCCGGTACAGCTCCACAACCAAACGTTTCGCAGCTTACCTGTAGAAATTTAGCACAATAATTACAAAGTTATCTGGTGCGTCTAACTACACATTTGCCCTGACTTCCTATTGTAATCAGTGGTTACTTTCATTATGAAGTCCAGTTTTTACCAGGCAGGTTTCAGAAAAAAGCAGATAACCCGTCTTGTTTCAAAAAGAACTACTGTCTACACCTGTAAGTGCATTATTAGTCACAACAAAGTGCAAATATAAGTCTACAAAAAACTGCTAACCAAACACACAAAAGTGCACATGTATCATCTACAAAAGCTCTCAAACAATTCTGAAAGTTTTTGGTGCATTTGTTCACAGAAAATAATGGACTTGGTAGTAAAGTTCACTTTAAAAAATCAGATCTGACATTTCCTTTGCTTTTGTCTCTTCAAAGACATTTCTCTTGTTTTTTTTTTCTTTTAAGCTGTAAACAAATGTTTTAAAGGCAGGGAGAAAACATCAAGATATTTGCTTTCTATCCAAAAATCATCCTATTTGTCTTTTATAAACTATTTTTGTTCTAAAAGACACAGAACCTGACACTTCAGATAAATCATAAAAACAATGCTATATATAATTTAGAGTTTCCGATTCTTATTCGCTATTCCTTACCATAAATTCTGTGCCATCTGTGCCTAGATAGACACTACCTTCTGAATGTGTGCAAACGAGCATTACCATAGCACTTCTGGCATTCCTAGTTTGCCTCAGCAACAGCCTATCAGAAATGCAGTTCGGGTATTGCAGGCCATCTTCTCCGCTCAGATGGTCTCACTCATTGCTTACCAACATTTGCTCATGTTACATTTGCACTTTCTGGTGAGATGCATACAGCTCTGAAGCTGCGCACGACAAGTTGGAACTGAGTTCACATTTAAGTAATTCATTCGATCATCCAGAATAATTACCAAATCTCACTTCTCTTCTTTCCCAGGCATAAGTATTTCCAAAAGATGCGGGGGACATAAGCAAACGCTCATGACACATGAGCACACGTTCCATAGACACTGACTAGAGATTCAGTTGCAGTAATACCAACTGAGTGTACTGCCTGAAAAAGAGGAGGCTGAAGGGAGGACCCGTGGTGGCCTACAGCTCCTCTTGAGGGGAGCAGAAGGGTAGCGCTGAGCTCTGCTCTCTGGTAACAGTACCAGGAACAGAGGGAACAGCATGGAGCTTTGCCAGGGGAGGGTCAGGCTGGGGATTAGGAAAATGATCTTCACTAGAGGGTAGTCCGGCCATGGAACAGGCAGCCCAAGGCAGTGGTCACAGCATCAAGGCAACAAAGTGCAAGAAGCATTTGGACAACACTACTGACATAAGGATTTGATTTTTGAGTGATCCTGTGTGCAGCCAGGAGTTGCTTTCGATGATCCTTATCAGTGCCCTCCAAATCAGGATCTTCTGTGATTGTATGCTTACCTTTACTGGTGTTCTTATCTCTCTATTCAACAGCTAAGGAACATGTATGATAAGTACAGCTGGCCAGGAACAGTATCACTTAGTTACTTAGCTAAAGAAAATTGTTTGCTTTTTTGTTTTCCTCCCTCATTCTCTGGCAAAGTTTGTGTTTCTTTCTGAAAGTAAGATCTTTTCTCCCTTTTTCTACATCACAGCATGCCCTTCTAGAACACAAGAGATTCCTGCTTTCTCTGTTTTTCTTCAAAACAGCTGACAAGAAGACTTTTCTTTCCTTGCCTCCATACTCTTTCGTTTGGTGGTGCTCTGAGATGTGAAAGATGATCAAAGTTTCCTACCACAAGACCTGTAGCTTAGATAGTATTCCTTTCCTCATTAGAGTTCAGACTTGAAACATTGGCTTGCTCTGCATGGTATCTCTTTGTTCAGGAGATGGTTTGCATCACTTGGGCGGATAATCAAAGGGTAATGACCCTTTTTTACTAATTTAGTTTCAGTCACAACAATTTCTTGTCATCTCCTGCAAGGTTTAGCTCACTAATAACACAAAGAACTGCAGAAAAATGGAGTTTGCTGTATGATGGATACACTGAGAGAATTACCAATGCCAAACAATTCACTGGAGGAGTCTGATTTCTCTAGCCATTACCTTCAGTGCAGAAAGGGACCACAAACGCACTCCCTGGAAGTCCAGAGCTTGTAATTCCACTTCCCATCCACACTGAAGAAATCAACACAGACTGCCGAACACTTCACCAGATCTATTTAAGGTAACTTCATACTAGTAGTTCAAATAAGGAGAACAAAGAAAAATAAGCGGGACTGGCTTCAAGTTCTTGGCTCCAGGAAGGATTCTGCAATGCCTGTGGTACCTGAGTGACTATCTACATCTCTATTTTCCTGTGCAGAAGTTGCAGCTCCCAGAAACAAGTGAGCAAAGATGTGTTTTTCCTAGTTCTGCACTGGGGTATTGGCTCTTTATGTCACTTCCACCCTCACACAAAAAGAGAACAGACAAAGGCTAGCCTGGCCCTATAAACTTGTCTTTCTGCTGGCAAGAGGAGGAAAATGCAGAGGCAGAAAATACTTCTCTTCTGCCTTCAGTTTGTAGATTTTTCCATTAAAACTATTGTTTTAACTGAGTAGTTATAAAAAAAAGGAAGCTTGAAACCAAAGAGCACGGGGAAAAAAAAACCAAAAAACTAAACAGTAACAGAAAAACACCACAAAAGCCCACATCTTCCAGGAAGAAACATGAACCAGCATTTGAGATTGTCACTGGAGTCTGCTAGATTTCCCTGCCAGTCTGGTCCTTTATAGATAGCCTAAACAACATAATTCTCTGCTTAACTACCAAAGCTTGATTCTTTTGTTTTGTTTCATTCAGAAAATAATTAAGTTCCTTTAATTTATTCCCACACATCGCTCAGAGAAAATAAGATTTTTGTATTGCACTTTTCACAGCAAAAGATTTTTCTTGAAGTAAATTAGCAGAGCAGAGGAAATCCATATAACTCTGTGAACGTAGTAGGAACATAATGAAACTGAGGACGAAATGTTTTAAAATGCATATAGTAGTGATACAGATCAAACCAAATGAACTCTCTAATTTGTATCTAGCTCTATATCCTGGGTGTTAAATCTGATGGAAAGCCCACTGAAGTCAAAAGGAGTCTTTTTAGCAGGTTTATATCATTGAAATGCAACATTCACCAAGCCATGGACCTGCCACAAACCTCATTATGGTCCCATATATCAACTAGTACATCTCAGGGCATTGCAGCTGCAGCAGAAGATGAAGAGCTGTCCTTCCTCAAGTCAGTTTAGTTTTGCCATTGATTTCAACAAAGCCAGAATTTTACTCTACATTTCCAATAACAATTACTATGTGCTCCATTTTATGAAAAGAAATCACACAAAATATGAAAAGGATTTTCAAAATTTTCCTACAGAGTTCCTCCCAGTCAGTGCAACATTTTAAATAGTTTCAGAACAAGCAGGTCTGCAGAAAGAAAGCAACATAATTAGGGTGTGACAACTTCCTTCCTCTATTAGTCATATTCAGAGCTGTTAAGACCAAAACCTGAATTTTTAAGCTCAGCCCAAACAGGGAACAAAATTATTAATTCTATTTTAATAAGTATTACCAGACAGTGACTTTCCAGATGCCATAACCAGAAAGGTTACAGAAAGTAGGTGTAATTACTAAGGTTTTAGTATGATACAGAGTAATTCTGAGAGTAAGCAGTATCCTGAAAACCATACAGGTTACAAATATACAAATCAATGAACGTGAGAACATTAGCAAGAATACAGGCACACTTGCTTGTTTCCTGGATGATGTTCCACTTAGAGTTATATACCTAAATCCCCTATCAATAGATGAAAGCCCACTCCTAATTATACATGAGGTTACTAAAAATCTGAGTATTGCTGAATATTGGCAGGTGTTGCAAACACTAAGGAAAATATTTGGTGCAATGCCTAGTATTTCCTAAGTGTAATTTATTTTTTTGAAATACCTACAGATGTTCTCAGGCAGACCAGAGGAGGTCCAGCACCATACATACAAGGCACTGTTTCTGGGTTTTACATTGTAGCAATTACCTTAAAACTTTCAAAAATTAAAGTCCTAAGTACAGAGATTACAGAAGTGAGTGCCTTAATTCAGAGACCAGCACCTTTTATCCAACACAAACATGCACACAAAACTAGCCTCACGGTACCTCAGCAGATACTCTGCTCTGTTCACACACTGAAAAGATGAGTGGATATGCGTGGTACAGCACCACCTGCTGACTCTGTCCAGAATAATGTTAGAGCATTTTTAGATGCAGCTTACTATGCAGTTCCATTAATCCTTTTACATAAAAAAAAATACTATTCCATGGTTTCAGCACTCTATTCAGGAAATCAAAGTTAGGCATGGGTCCAAATGTTCACATGAGTGAAGCTGAATACATACATATGAACCCTTTATTTCTGCCAAATTTTACAGAAAGTAGCATGAGCTGAATAATCAATGCTGCAATTTCATGGTAGCTTTCGGGTAAGTGATTCACTACATAAATACCATTCCTGTGGTTTGCAAGATTAGCTGATGCTTTTGGTGAAACTGCCTCCATACTAGCTGGCATGTTAGTACTGCACAGAGCACAACACATGTAACACAACAATCAAAATCACTTCAATCTTTTTTTCCTTCCACATTTTCATCAAGAGATCAACAGCTAGAATATTTCATCTCAACACATAATATTCTGTTCCAAAAAAGCTGCAGTGTTGTTCCATGAGAGTCATAATTGATGTTCATCTTCTTCCTAATAATTTTCTCTGTAACAAACTTCATACATAACACCCTCTCTGGGTGAAAGAACTGTGCCTCATGATTTGCTTTGGCTGTTTCCTAGGCACAGAACAAAGCTCAGCTGCAGAGTCCGGCCCCAAAAAGATAAATGGAGATACAAGACAACCAAACTATAATTCCAAAAGCAAATTTTTTCAAGAGATTCAGGGCTTCCCTTTCAAGCTTCTTTCTTTAGCTGTCCACCAGAAAAAGTCGAACTGTAGTCACTTTTTCAAAATACATATTTGAAAGCTCCATCTTCCACTACAAAATAATACAGGTAGATTTTTTGATCCACTAGATAAATAAAACAGCTATTTAAGACCTTTGTAAAAAGTCCATGAGAAAACTCCTAATCAAATTCAGATTCTTCAGCATGAAGGGCTTTATCACTAACAGGGTAGCTACATTTGTGACACGGTTTTTCTTTTCAACCTTGCCTAGTTCACTTGGGTCTTTTACGAATCCTACAAGCACATTTTTTCACCACTAAAGCAAATGAAGCAACTTACGGTTCTGGGGTGTAGAGAGGATCCGAGCCATGTCGTACATACTGAGTACAGTGAAAAACTCTGTATGCTAAGCCAGCTAAAAAGTCTCGAGGAGAGAGATATCCAGCAACCGGTCTCACTGTGAAGCCAGACCTTTCTGAAGTGAAGGAGATAATAAAACACCATATTATAAATTACTATATCAATTTCTAAGGACAAGTAACAGGTCTGCAGTTAATTACCAGAAACATGGCATGGAGAGTCATGGCTGAAGGTCACCACACATAATCTTCATCTATTAAGAACAAGAATTATTTTGCATTGCTAGCGTATTTTTAATGAAAACACCTCGAGGTACTTCAAAGTTTGTTTAAATAACTTTGTATAGAAAGGAAGGTAAAGTGCCATAAGGGATGTTCTCAAATCACAAAGCATCTGATTTTTACATCTCGCAGCAAAGCAGGAAAAAGTCATCCAAAACAGAGGATGACTTCTGCAAAATGTATTGAAAACAAACAGAACAAAATAGGATTAAACCAAACGTGCTCTTATTTTTTTACAGATAAATACTGATTTGTGATAGTAAAATCCTGAATTTCAAATCTAAAGTCCTCATTTAAATGTTTAACAAAGTGTTCAGTTGACAGATTAGTCCCAGTGGAGAATTATTTCAGATTGAATAACTTTGAAGAGGACATTTCTCCCCCAAACTCATTCTTAATTCCTTGCAAGTGTTTACAAGATATTGTTCCAAGCATTTCTTCAACAGATATTAGTGCATTCTATTCAGTCTAAAAACATATTTGTGAAAAATATGCTAATTTTTGTGTTTCTAGTTAAGGAAAAAGAGCCTAATTCCTTAGGGAATCATAGTGCAGTCTATGAGAATCCCACGACACATCAAAATCAAAAGATCAATGAGTCACTTATCAGTAAATGCAATTACTGACAAACAAGAGTTAAGGATGAAGCAGGGACTGAGGAAAGTAAGCCGCTCATTATCAATTTTGTATTTCTTTCAGTTAAAAATCTACCCTTGGGAAAACACACTTAGCCTTTTTTGTTTTTTCCTCTACATAACACTTAACAGCCCATAACATTGTTTTCTAAACACATGTCTGTACAGTATTTTAATTCCTGAGCACCTGAGTAAGAAGATTAAGGCATAAGGATGTGTGTCTGAAAGAAGCCCTGGGAGAAGAGAAAATCTTAATTGAACGCTTTGGCAGCTCTGGAGTTAAAAACCAACAGGTTCTTCTCATCCCTCGCTTCTCCTTCCACATGGGATACATTTCCATCACAGATGAGAAAGCAGAGTATTTCCAAACTTAAATAAGTGATATCCTGATCATTTAAAAATACCACAGAAGTTGTAGATCATCCATGGAACCCCATTGATTTTCTCCATACATCAGTGTGAGCCTCATGAGGTTTTAAGCGGTCTGGAGAGCCTCATATTTTCCTTTTTCCTTAAATGCTTAGATAAGTGGGAACACACACTGTGGTTACCAGGACACCCATGCTCCATTATCAGGACAGCAGAGCTAACTCAGCTCTTTTTCACCATACACAAGGACTTTTCTCCCTGTGTAGGACAACACCAATGCAGCATGTGATTATTTATTTAACTCATCTCAGCTTCATATCCTCTTCCATGAAAAGGATAAACCACAGCTGGCTGATAGCACTGGGAGCCTTTCTATTCAATATGCTTTGCATTACATTCTAACAGAAAGGAGTGTTTCAAGAAGCATTACCTACTGATAAATCAAACATGAATCTTACCTTTAAGAAAAACAGAGACATCTTCCAGCTGAGGCACATTATCCTCTCTATATCCACAATACTTAGTCAGCAGAGGAAAATTCTTTAAATATTCACGACAAGCATGGGTGGGATAGAGTTTGCTGAGTTCCCTGAACACCACCCCCCATGTTTTAATTTCTTCAGCTGTGTACTCCACTCTGGGAATGGGTTGACCACTGTTGAGGGGAAAAAAAAAAGGGATATAGAGTATATCTGAATATAATCAGGTTGTATATTGACTCTGGATGGCAGAATTTCTGTGCTACTGTAATAATTACAACTACATAGAGCCTGTTAAAAAAAAAACAAACTACTTTAAAGTGATAACTAGATCCTCAGAATTCCTTAGAATTTTTTCCTAATGCTATGATGTACGTATTACATTTATTTCATAAGAACTGCATTTCTTAATATGCAGTGAGATGACTTCCATAACATAACAGAAAGACGGATTTCTTATATGATGCATCTGTATACCAAAGTAATAGCTTTGCTTTCTGCCACTTTTGTAATGGTTAACTGAAGCTCCAAATTCAGTTTAACTTGTACATTCAGTAAAACCATCAGTTGATTGCTCTGTCTGTTCCCTGTAACACACAATATTCACAGGCTCTCATTTTAAAAATGAAGATTAGGCAATTATCTAGATGTTTAGAAACACATAGAAACAACAAAGTACATATACTTATTATTTAGACCATTGTGCATGTGTGTTTGGAACCCCACGTTCATTCAGGACTACATGATGAGGAAGCCCGCCTCGGAGCCAACAGCCCAGAATAAACTAAACTAAGACTTTAAATACCTCTCTCAGTATTTTTCTTCTGCACAATTTCTCTGCCTCCTCCACCTTACATAGATGCAGAGAAATTGCAGAGCAGGAGCCTCCCGGGGAGCCTGCTGATCTGTCTCTCACATCCAAGATTTGCCTCGAGTGGTTACAGCTAATTCAAAACTGAATGACAGCACAGAGTGTGAGGGGCTCCTTCCAATTTGCACTGACTTGCATTTAGCTTTAAGGAATTTCCCATGACATAATCTTCATCTATCATTATGACTTCCCTCTAGAAACTTTATAATCTTTCTCTGGATTTAACGTTCACAATCTACTACAAGCAACTACAAAATCTGCCATCTCCTAAGGTATCCTTCTCTTCCCTCAGACTGCTGATGAGCACAGATTAGGCAGAGGGATTCCAGGTCCCTACCTCCCACAGCCCAGCCACAGAGCTGGCACCATGGCTATTCCCAGCTCAGTGTTGCAGCGTCCTCCTCAGACCCAGACAACAGCCTTGGCTGTCCCACCAGCAGTGTGCACAGCATAATCCTGCTGCAGCCGAACTACAGTGCTGTGTATTTGCTAGAGCAGTTGAGTTTCACTCCTGGCTCTCATCTGGTTTATAATCTTGTCTTCACCATGCCAAGTAACAAGGAACGAGCCCTTCTGTCACATGCGACTGCTGTTAAGCAGTCTCTCCATGCATAAAGAGAAGAGCCTCTGCCCTACATTTGTTTGTGGTTGTCCCCTTATCTTTGCTGAAAACTTACTATTTAATCCCCTCACCTTTCACTATGTCAAAGTATTCTGATCCATAGAGGTATCTGTCAGTCAAAGGATACTTTGTATGAGATGCTCACACTTGTCAAAAACGCCCTGAAGATCCAATACATTAAATTTGCTAGTTCTCCTTCAGCCACTCTTTCGCAGACACAAGAATTGCAATGCATGTGGTGAAGCATTGCTCACCAGCAGAAGCTGCACTGGGTCCATGTCTGTTATGCTGTGGGAGCCAATCCTTCAGATCCAGTAACTGTCTTCACTTGCACAGACCATCAATCTTAAACTGCTGCCAGCTCATGGGAAGGATAACAGAGCTACTCTAAATCGTATCATACACACCAGGTACAAATAGACTGGTACTCCACCCACTTGGGGCTACCAGAGCTGTGCAGGAGCCTCATCCCTTTTCCCTAGATGCAGCATCTGCTATGGATACTGCCATTACAGGTCAGCACTGGCCCAGCAAAGCTGAAGAAATCTGAGTGCCAGTGGGAAAAAAAAATCAAGATTCTATTTAGCACATAACTAGAAAAGTATAAGGAAAACCAGGGTCCTGACGCTTGTTCACTCTTCTCTAGGAGGTTTATAATACAGTAATTGTTTCAATTAATTCATTAGTACTGAAATAAGGTTCACTGAACATTAATTCCTTATTAGAATTTATGCCTAGTAGCACTGATCTTATTTAAAGATGATGGTGATACTGCTTTCTTTATTAAGAGTGCTTTCTTTATTGACAGGATGGAGGTAGCCAGACTCAAGGGTGGATTGTGCCATTCTTTCACTTTTCTCACCCTCTTACAAGCATGACCCACCTTGCTTTCATCACCCAATAAATCACACCAAAGGACAGCCTAGTCAGCCACAAGCAAACTGGCTTTACAAGGACATTAAAGGCTAACCTAACCTGAATTTTCATTTCCCCTTATTAAAATGGTCTTTCCATTTTGCCACAGTCATGAGCTATCAACTCATATTATGAATCCCCTCTATAAGCCTTGCATTTCTCTTCCAGATTTAATTTTCTCAACACTTCTGCAATCTCTAATCAGTCTCAAAGGGCTAATTAGCAAGTTTAACACATTTTCACTATCTTTAGGATATAAGCTATGTGAAGGAGGGAGGAATATTTATTTTTTGGTCCATTTATTTCACAGAGTTGATCTTCATTGATGTGCTCTATTAGCACATCTTTCCCTTTAACACCTAGCACCAGCAAGGATCTGCTCCTGTAGGTTCACATCTTAGTGTTTTTCTCTCTGTCCCCAGCTGAGGCCTCTTTATGTTCTATTAAAGAAGGACATCTACTGCTTCAGAACAGCATCTCATAAAGGAAATGTCAGTCAGGGATTTTCAACTCAATAATTTTTGACAGAGCCATTTCCTTGAGCCAATTTTTTTGCGGCCAAATCTCTTCGTTTTTTTAAGGAACCAAGTTTGCGGGGTTTTTTAAACACTGGAGGATGAAAATTAGCAATGCATCAACCTCAGCTTTCAATGAGGAAGAAATACTGAGAGGTTAGCGACAATGCTCTAAATTTGCCTCTAAGAGAAGCCCTTATACCATAAGTTGTATTTTACCCTATTGTGAAGCTCTCCCAACATTTCCTGACATACCTATTCTTTTTGTATAAATAATAAGTAGTCTTCTCCAGAAAAGAAGGTGCAATGACACTGCAATGTAGTGTTAAGACACCTAAACTAGTTCTGAATGCACCAGCATGGGTAGCAGAAATAGTTCAGCTGCAGCAGCACAGGCTCCTCCTGATTTTCTCCTCGCTGGGCTGTCTCTAAGAGCAGATGTATCCAGAGAGAGACCGACTGTACAGCTCCATGGATATGGCATGTCCGAGGGGTGAAAAAAGTCATGTTGGCAGATCTGAGGAATATGAATGAGTTTTTGCCACATTTTAGGTAACTGTGAAGGTCAGTGGCCTCTAAGCCATTTTTTGGTTAAAAACATTCAAAGAATCTCATTTTCCTGTTCCAGCTGCTACCATGAAGAATGTGAAATGTCTTACAACATTTGAAAATATCACTGGGATGAGGGAGTATTTGTGAGTAGATTTGCCCCCAAATAACCTGTTTCAATTTTTTTGATTTTTGTAATCTGCAGAAATGGGTACTGAGTCTTCAAAATCTAAAGAAGAAAAAGCATTTTCCTTCCTTTTATCTCTTTTTCTGGAAATGTGCAAGATTTCTCAGAAAAGATGTTTCTTGCCAGTTTCAGAGAAATAAATCCTTCTAGCAGAACACCAACCACTGCTCAGTGAGCCATCAGGACCTTTCCAGCATTTAGACAGCTTAGAGGGGGAGAAAAGAGGAAGATATTGCCAACAGCCTAGCAGCTGTGAGATGCAGGACGCTACCATTTTCCTTACTAATAAGAGGAGAACTGTCCTAGTTTACCAAGAGAGATCTAGAAGCACACAGTACGCCCTCATCCACAGGTATCTGCTTGACATTTCACACTGCAGCAAATGTTAGGAAAGAATAACTAACTCTGCAGCAAGCATGAGACTGGGAAATAAAATCAATCAGCTGTAAGCAAACAAAAAACTTGCCTCAACTTTAATCTGAAAACTGGCTAAGCTTAGGACTTACAGTGACAAAGGGATCAAAACACAGAGCCTGGGAAGCTTCTCCACCCACCATCCTGTCCCATCATGCAGAACATCAGTGTGCTGTAAGAGCACCCAGACAAACAAATGCCACCGGGGGCTGAAGAAAGGAAAACCAAACACTGGTGCTTGGACATTTACTGTATTGGTAACAGCATAACAACAGGAATGGAACAAAACTGAAGGAGAAAGATAAATAGGATTATATGGTCACAAAGTAGACTTAGTTTTCCTGTCCCAACCTCCAGTCTTCTACAGCTCATGAATTAACTTTACAATAAGAACAAAGAAAGCAGAACCAAAAAAACTTCTAAAATGCTTTTCTGAATTGCTTCCTGATAGGATATGCCTTTCATGAAGGGAGAAAATAACTGTTGTGCTCTGCATTCTTTAAACAATATACTTTGAAATCTCAAAGGAGAAAAAGAAAAGCAAAAATCTGAAAATGGAAAGGAACATGAAATTAGTATGCTCCTTCCGCTGAGAGCGAGGGCAAACAAAACAGAGCCTAATTAGAATTAGCTGAATCCTTACTTGAGAAGAAAATTGCAACATGGTAGGTATTTTTAAGTAGCACAGAAAGTTTCCCAACTTCCAGACATGGCGGCAAATTGAAAATACTGATTTGACAAGGAAAAGGATCAGAAGGCGGAACCACAAACAGCATACTTATACATAGACACCAGTTCCATAAACTACAGGGAAATCCACTCAGTGAATTCTGAGAAGTTGATAGCCGTGGTAGCAACATTCATAAAAGGCATTTTACAGCATCCAGCATATTAAGAGCATGAAAAGAATCATTTCCTATTACTGCCTTGTTCAGATAGCTACAGCTAACTGCAAGTTAATCGTTAAGTTACAGCTTTCCCAGATTTGGACCAAATCTTAGGATCCTCAGGACCTGACTCTTATCCTGTACCTGAAGGTAGAGATGTCATTCATTTTCATTTTTAGTCCTAATTGTGACTAATTTTGAGAATTCATCCTGTTACAATGGTAGGAGTCAAACTGTTACGACAAACATGGCCCTTGTGTGAAGCATAGTGCTCCACTTTCGTTTGGGTGCTATTCCAGGTATGTCTAACAGTCCTCCTCACAAGAAACACAACTTTCTTTGGTTCAAATAGCTAATAATGATTTGGCATAGAGCAACCACACAGGGACACTAGCTACATACAATTCAGCAGTACATCAGTTTTTCATTAATAACAGTTCCTTAAGTTTAATCTGCTATTAATAAAATGCTGAAAAGGTAGTGCTTGCATTTCAAGTGCTTTCCTTCCTTGTCTGTATCTGTTCTGAAAATGTAACAGGATTTCAAGCGTCAGGTTTGCATAGCTGAACCGGTGGTAGTTTAAAGGATGACTTTGTCTACTGCAAAACTTGCTACAGAATGAAGTAGAGCATGAATTCTAACTAGTCAGCAGCCCAGGGAAGAGTTATACCAGTACTTACTATTTATAGCTCATGGCAACATCCACAAAGTATTTTCTTCTCTGTCGATAGACATTGTCTTTAAATCCCTTAAGCAAGGAAGAAGAAAGTAATTTATAACAAAGACAGAAAATTAGCTGTGAGAATTATAAATCATTAAAGTGTTTATCCAGTACCAAATTATATTGTATTTTGATCAACACCATCTTATGGATTGTAAGAGAAAAATATCTTTTGCCTTTTTCCCCCCACCAAAGTCCCACAGGGGTGTTTTTAAGATACATTTGTGCATAGGTAGTCATTTTTCCAAGGCACTGAAAAAGCAAAACTGTTTTCCTGTCATTTCATCTCATGCAGGTTTTCCTTAATCTGTATGGAGATCTACAGGCAGGCATAAAGCAGAATAACTGACCTTTTCTTAATACATCTGTCATCACTAGAAGACAGAAGGTGCCCAGAGTTCACAAGTAACTCATTTTGAAGATGCTACTTCAGCAGTTGCCATCTTAACCAACACATTAGAGACTGAGCCAACAGCCTCCAACAGCAAATACACACATTCCTCCAATTTGAGCTGCAGATCAAACACCCTACATATTAGGCTACAGCAGGTTCTTGCTTTTTGCATATTAAGTGCAAAAGAGCTGTATTACACATACAGACTAGAGTCAGTAACAGCCCTTCAAGCTATTCAAAATCAAAACATTCTCTTCTGTATCTACAAAAAATTTAGACAATTTAGGTTTTAGACTACAAAAGAGCTGCCTACTTTCAAAGCAGGACTTGTAACCTCTTGAAGATGGAAAAGAATAGCTATCTAAGTGCCACAACTAGTAGCTCAGAAAGTGCATTTAAATTTCCTCAAGTGCCATGACTTAAATGGGATGCTCCCATCACCTAGACACAGCTGAAAAGTAGAACACATTTTTTCCTTACTGTTCACATATACAGATTTGCAAAGGGAATGAAAACACAATGTATTTTGACTTGAAATGTTTATGAGTTTGCATGAGAAAACTCAAAAGGTATTTTATGGCCCCATAACCAAAGTTGCGCTGCTAGGGCTGAGCAAGGGAAAATGTCAGAGGACTGTAGAGAGAATTCAAGCCTCCACTATCACACAGGACAGCAAATGCCTTACAAAACACCCTTCAGGTACTGAGCAATCCAGTGTATACAAGCTGGGAGAACTCCTTGGGAGTAGCCCTGCTGAGAAGGACTTCGCAGTTCTGACTGATGAAAAACTTAAGATGAGCCAGCAGTGTGCACTTGCAGCCCAGAAGGCCAATGGTATCCTGGGCTCCATAAGAAGAGAGGTGGCCAGAAGGATAAGAGAAGTGACTGTCCTCCTCTGTTCTGCCCTTGTGAGGCCCCAGCTGAAGTACTGTGTCCAGGTCTGGGGCGTCCAACACAGGAATTATTATGTGGAGCTATCAGAGAGAGTCCAGAGAAGGCCACAAGGACAAATCAAGGGCTGGAGCACCTCTCCTATGAAGACAGGCTGAAGGAACTGGGCTTGTTCAGCGTGGAAAAGAGAAGGCTGGGGGGAGACTTCATTGCAGCTTTCCAGTATTTAAAGAGAGCTTATAAACATGAGGAAAATCAACTTTTTACATGGATGGATAGCGACAGGACAAGGGGAAATTATTTTAAACTAAAAGAAGGGAGATTTAGATTAGATGGCAGGGGGAACTTCTTTACTGAGAGAATAGTGAGGTGCTGGAACAGGTTGCCCAGAGAAGTCATGGATACCCCTAGAAATGCGTAAGGCCAGGCTGGATGGGGACCTGAGCAGCCTTATTTATTATCTGTGGCAGAGGGGTTAGAACTTGACAATCCTTGGGGTCCCTTCCAACCCAAGCCATTCTATGAGTATACGATTCATTTACTTTTTTTTAAACATGCCATTCATTCGGTTATCAACTTGCTGTGCATAACTATCACGAACTTCATGCACTCAAACAACTGCCTGCCTCCCTAATCTTGCATTTTTGTGGCCTGCTTTCAACAGGGCATATCACCCTCCTGTGAAATGCTACAGAAGAGTCAAGAACAGTGCTGTAATCAACACCGCTCATATAGAGAAGCTTTTTGACAGGCAAAAACTTGTGACATTTTGAAGCGTACGTCTGTCTGCTTAATACCCTTTACACTAGCATTGTTACTCAGCTGTAACATGCAACAGACAAAATGGAATGGATGACAGCATAGGTGACTCAAATGTCCAGCACGTGCAGAGAAATCAAGACTGAAACCACTAGTCAATATGGAATGGGTTAGAACCTAAACTAGTGCTGTACTGATTCCATAATGGAGCAATTCTCTTTGGTCTGGCATCAATACATTACTATGAAGGAACAGAGCAGGCACCAGAACTGGCATTTGAAAGGCCAATCACAGATTTTATAGTTTTTCCCCCATCTCTAATATCTAGCGTGCTGCATACGCTAACAAATGGTGTGTAAATTATGTTCATAATAGTTCCCTCAAGTGTAAAATATATATTCATATAATGCAAATGTCTTTTTTCATTGTCTGTAAAACTGAAGGCAGATTTTCAGTAGAGCACTCAACAATTTAATGAAGGCACCAGCTCAGAACATAAAACAGTATCAAATGGCTCATCACAATCATCAACTCAAGGCTAGAATGAGTTGCCATTAAGGCCTCTGTTTGAACCAAATTACTGCTAATGGTTGAAGGTAATCAACAGATTTTTCCATTCTGAGAAAAATAGTAGGTAAATCCTAGCTTGTCACTAAGAAGTATGTGGCAGAAATCAGGACCCAGGAACATGCTTCCCAACTGCTGGCCCACAGTGCAGGAAAAGCTCATATTCAGGTACTTCACTTCATTCCTTCCTTTCACCTGGGAGCTTCCTAAAATACCAGTTGAATTCAGCTTTCAGAGTAGGAATAATACAATAAGTTGCCATTAGTATTGCTCAACCAACAGGTCCAAAGGTGGAAATCTCGATTTGAAACAAGTGAAAATCCCTTAACACAAATGCTTGCAATCATCTGCTATGTAAAGAATTAGATGTTAAGCATGTACGGACTTGAGCCAAATGGAATAAAACAAACTTTTTTTTTTTTTTTTTTTTTTTTTTTGTCTTTTTACACTGAACATTTGGCACCACTGCAGGTATCACTTATATGAAATGCAAGCTTGATTCCTGTCACTGAAGTCAGGAAACAATATGAGACACCTTCCCATCTGTTGCATTCCTTTCTGCACACAGAAACAGGAATGTGCTGCTGTTTTATTTTGCAATTATCTCCTGAGTGGCCAGGAAGTCTTTTTCCACAATTATTTTTTCTCTGACAACTAAGTTTATATCTATTCTTATTTAAGAGCCACTTGTGACAGCCCCTAAGGTCACAGCGATCTAAACTCTTCTCTGTCTGAAAACTTCTAACAACCAGCTAAATAAGAAGTAAATAAATGAGAACAGAAAAAAAGACAAAGTTTTCAAGAGTCCTTTATGGAGGACTTCCTTCTTTCATGTCCAGCTACGGAAAAGGATAATTAATTCATTGGAAACAGTGAACAAAACTAAACACCGACCATGCTCAGAAAAGCACTCAAAACCAGCAGTCAACAGGATTTTTATTTGACTGGCAAAGAATGTGAACAAATTATCTGCAATACAATTGTATTTTACACTTACAGGGTGATCTGCATCCAGCTCAGATCCATACATCAATACTCTTTGTGAACATTTGTCTAATTCAGATATCTTCCGAGGAAACCAAGGGACACAATCAAGATCTGCAGAAGATAGAATGTGAGTTAAATATACTGAATATAAGATTATGGCTATAACTGTGCAAAACATTTGTGAGTCTATAAAACAGCGATACAGAAATAGCCTTGCCTTCCTCATCAGTCCAGATGTTTTCTGGTGGATTCAGAGACACAATGTTAGTTTGAAACTTGAGCAACTGGATTAGCTCATTAAATTCCTTCTTACTGCAGTCACAATCCACAAAAATTTCTACCTCTGAGTTCCTTCTCTTTGATTTTCGTGATTCAATATGAACCATACTCACATGTTTCTCCTGCAGAAAGAAGAAACAACGGGTTAAATATAGACATATCAGTTAGGATTGCAATATTGATGGCATATTCCTCAGGAAAGCTTTTTCAAATTTCAAATGAAGGTCCCCTCTGGTACAGGCAGCCAGCAGTTTCTGATCTTCCACATGTGAATCCACATAGTAGGCAACTATTTCACTGGCACACTCCATAAAGTATGTATACACTGCGTCTTCTTAATTAACACATTCACGCAACAAATCTGCAGAAGGAAAAGACTCCATTTGCTGAGGGCTTTGAATCTGCTGATTGTAGACCAGCAGATTACAGAAGCCAAGCAGAATCATTTTGACGATCTCTTCCTGAGTAAACCAGGCCACAGGACTCCTTTTCAACTGACAGGGATGATGGTTTCAGACATTCTCTTCTGAAGTAGAGAAAGTGGCTTTGATTAACCCTAGGTTTAGATGACAACATAATCCCACCCTTCCCATGCTCAAATTGCTCAGCAACTATGTGAATGCAGTTGATCTCTCTGCAACATCTTCCAAATACATTTAAGCCAAATGAATTGTATGTAAGCAAATTGTTCTCAAGGTAGAGCAGACATATATATTCAGGATTTCGGGTCTGAACCCATTGAATAATTTAAGCCAGAGCTGCACTTTGGAAAGAAGATGAGTTGAAAACAGTTCCTGCAGTTCCTATTGGCTTACTTAGCCCTCTCCTGCTTCTGTTGTGCAGCAGAAGCTCAGCTCACTCCACTTTCAACATCTGGACAGTCTAGATATCTGCATCAGCCTGGGGAATCTGTGCCCAGAACCAACTCCTGTCATCTAAGCTCAGTAACACCCTGTGCTCCCACAGTTATACCCCTCTGATGGTTTAGCATGAAGTGGTAGATTCCTAATCACCTCTTAACATTTTCTTCACTGCACAGACTGAGCAGCCTAAGGTTTTCATCATGGTGCTTTGCCTGAATTGTCCTTAGAAATGCCTTCAAGTCCTCTTCAATGTATTAATAAGGTAAGCAGACTACATAGAGTACCAGCAGTCAGACTGAAAACCACCAATTGCACGGGGATCTATCTGGAAACCAATGCTTCACAATGTAAGTTCCAGTTAGACAGAAAGCTCTGACCCTGCAAGCACTTAAAGGTGCACTTAAATTTATGACCAAACACTGTTCTGCAACAAGGTTGTCATCGCCATCTGACTTTGAGCATATAATTCAGACACTGAACTGCTCTCTGAAACTGCTTCCTTTCATCATGGTCTGCACAAAGAACTTCAAACCTAATTTATGATGCTGAGAATCACACTTTGGAAATCTAAAGTGAACAGTGCGAATATCACCATCACAGTTACACTTTGTTCCAGAAAATTCTCTGAGAGTCTTAAATGCTTTGTTGAACGACCCATAAAGCCCGAAGTTACACTCTGCAGATTCACTAAAAGTAACTGCACTCTATGGTGCATTAATTTATACCAACAAAGAGCCTGACCTCAGTATTCTTCGTCATCTGATCAGCACAATGATATGTAAGCTTTACCTGAAAGAGCCGGAGAGCTTTCACCAATCCGCCAACTTCATTCTTCAAGGAAAACACTACAGCTGTCTTTCCACCTTCAGAAACTGACTCGCCTTTCCCATTTCCCTTGCTGCCTTTTTTCTCCTCATTTTTCCCAGAGCTTGATCTGTTTATCTACAAACAGATAAAGAACAGCATTGATTCAGTTGCAAAAGGGTATTTCCCAAAAGTAAGACATATTACATAAAGAGAAACTTTCATTAGAAAATAGCTGAATTGAACCTATCCAGACTTAATTTAAAAGTTAATTTATTTACCTGAAACCAGAATCACAGATATACATATACACAGGATACATATTGACTTTTTAGGGCCACACTATGAAGACTAATAAGGAAAGCAAAAGGAGATGATGGTCTGAATTACCACAAAACCACTAATTCCAGTGATGCTATTCTATCTCTAAGTCAGTCCAAGATGATTTTTACTAGTCTGTACTTCTGTATTATCTATTGTCAAGAGTCCAATACTCTCTGACCAGCTGCTTTTAGACGTTCCACACATGGGGTGCATAATGCTTAGTACGAAAGGTTCTTAACAGACGATGTGTGATGTTACACAGGAATTCAGATTTAGCAGTGATACTTAACACACTGAAAACAGACTACAAATGCAAGTGATACTTGGCAAAAGCTGCAATCTCAGTAAACAGTTCAATCACAACCTCAGTGTTATTTGCATTACTGGTCTGTCTATTACTAGTTGTGAGATGACACTCGGTGAGTGGTGCCCAATGTCTCCATGTGTGGATGGAGATCAGTGATAAGTCGTGTCCCTTCGGGGTCAGTACTGGGACCAAGCCTCATTAACGCCTTCATCAATGACATGGACAGCGGTATCAAGTGCACCATCAGCAAGTTTGCAGACAACACCAAGCTGTGTGGTACTTTTGACATGCCCGAAGAACAGGATGCCTGTCAAAGAGACCTAGACAGGCTCCAGCTATGGGCCCAGGAGAACCTCACAATGTTCAACACATTCAAGTGCAAGGTCCTGCACATGGGTCACGGCAATCCCTGCTATTAGTACAAGCTGGGGGATGAAAAGATGGAGCATAGCCCTAGCAAAGAAGACTTGGAGATACTGGTGGATAACAACTTGAACACAAGCCTGCAATGTGCCCTTGCAGCCCAGAAAGCCAACCTTATCCTCAGTTGCATCAAAAGCAGTGTGACCAGCAGGTTGAGGGAGGTGATCCTGCCCCCTTGACTCTGCACTGGTGAGACCTCACCTGGAATACTGTGTCCAGATCTGGAGCCCTCAGTAAATGAGAGACATGGAACTGTTGGAGCATGCCTAGAGGAGTGTCACAAAAGTGGTCTAGGAGATGGAACACCTCCCCGTAAGGACAGGCTGAGAGAGCTGGGGCTGTTCAGCCTAGAGAAGAGAAGGCTCTAAGAGACCTGAGATCAGCCTTACAGTACCTAATGGGGGAGGGAGGACGAGGAGGGCTATAAGGATGAAGGGGACAGACTCTTTAGCAGCGTCTGTTGTGATAGGACAAGGGAAAACAGTTTCAAACAGAGAGATTCAGACTGGATGTAAGAAAAAAAGGCTTTTTGTTTTGTTTTGTTTTTACAATAAGGGCAGCAAGGTAGTCAAACAGGTTGCCCAGAGAGGTAGTGGATACCTCATCCCTGAAGAAATTCAAGGTCAGGCTGGACCAGTGTCTGAGCAAGTGCCTGTTCTAGCTGTAGGTATCCCTGTTCACGGCAGGAGAATTGGACCAGATGGTCATTAAAGGTCCTTTCCAACCCAAACAACTCTATGCTTCTCTGATCTTGTGCTCACCGTCACTATGCTGGGTGTACCCAGTCACCAGAAATGAATATATGGATTAAGGCCACTGATTTTCCTGCTGTTATCCTATTAGTGATGTAGTTTTCATACCCATACTGGGCTGAGCCATGTATTCACTTCCACATACTGGTCAGGCTTAACTCAAGGAGTCATTTCATGCTGTAACTCTGGAGAGATACCTAAATCAACAGTTAATCTGTGTAACTGAGGGCAGCAATGTATCTAAAGCAAAGGCCACTCCCTGGTACCCACCAAGATAAGATTAGCTTTCTGCAAACGCTGTGGTCACTCACATTCAGCCTTATTCATTGAGCTTCACAGGCACATCCTCCTACCCATCACTGCTGAGCCTTCTTCCATTGCTGGGGTTTACTGGTCAGCCATGCTGATTAAATTTAAAATATAAACTTTATGCTATCTGTTGTAGTACAGTTGCTGTGTAATGTCATTTCTCCTGAGAAATCTACAATCTTAATCAAGAAGGTGAAAACTTTGCTTCAAATGAGGTTTGCCTCATCCAGTAGTTTCCAAGAAACGTGGACTTTTTTCAGTTAACTTAAATTCTGTTGAGATGCAACAGAACAGCAAGTTGGGCTTTATAAGTTCTGTAGACAGTTCTGATAATACTGACCATGATTTTCAAAAACCAGCCTGCATTCTCCAACCAAGTTGTGACTCAGAGAAATGCTGTCCTCAGTGAGATGCTCACCACTTTCTAAACAACAGTATCACCTCTAATATGGTGGCTAAAAGACACAAACTTAGAAACTAAGAGACATATACAACAATTCCACAACTACTAACAGTTCTTTGTAAACTGTAGAAAACAATCAAAAATTCCACCCATTCTTTGAACAGGTCTCAACTCTTGGTTAAAGCCAAGTATCTATTCCTGTTTTCTTAGAGCTGCCAAGGTGGGTTATCCCACGTGCAGGATGTCTGGGGCTCTGTCTAGGGCAATGGGCTTTACTAAAGTCTCCCTGTGCTTTCCAAAAAACATTACGTTTCATAAGGAGCTTTTTGTCCCAGGAAAAAGAGATTAGTAAAGTTTACTCTAATTCCTTTTCCAAATTGGATTAGTTAAGACAGTTTTCTTAGCACTAAATATTGCTGGCAGAGATATTTGCATCACACCCTTTCAACACAGCCACACGGCACATGTCAAACTAGTTTGCTCTTCTACCTGATCCCAGTCCACTTTGAGGTACCTCCCTCTGCTGCATGAGACCACTGGATATTCAGCTCCCACTGGACATATATATATGTGTGTATATATATATACACACATACATAAACACACATAACAACACATATACATAAAAAGCACAAGAATGCACTGAATTTAAAGAAGGGCTAGTTGAAATGCATCTTCTTACCAAAAGCAACAACTTAAAATAGCACAGGTGAAATTACCCCTACCACATACCCAAAGGTCTCTGTGGTCTCTTATCATTTATCAGATCATACTTAAACCATTTGGAAAAAGTAATTCTGCTTGTGAAGACACTTAAACACATTTACTTTTTAGCGATTGAGCTTATATGGTTCTTCCTGCCGAGGGGTTTGCTTGGGGACAGTCTAGTGGAAGGTCACTTTGGCTTTAACTTCAACAATATCTGGGATTTGGCTGAGCAGTCTTCATCTATATGAAGTGCACAGATGCTGTTTATATAGCATCCATGCTTCTTCACTGTAAGCTGTTTCCAGGAAGCTACACACAGAGGATCACAGTCATCCTGAGCACCTCAGTACCACTGATTCCTCAGGGAAACAAGGGCACCTGGCACCCTCCATGACTGCCTAAGGTTCAGCACTACTTCAAAATAAGCATTACCTGAAGTGATGACTGAAAGCCTCCCTTGAGTGTAAGAAAACCAGATTAGCTAATCATCACAAGCCCAACTGAAGAGGCTATGATATTGCAAGAGCTCAAATCTTATCAGCCATGCCTATTATTTAATTATAAAGTGTTTTAATGGTAAGCAGATCAACCATCCTAATGAAAATGAGTTGCCTGGAGCAAGTGCAAGTACTCAGGAGCAAAGGATTGAATTACAGAATAACTCAAAGTAACTCAAACAAAATATGTAAAACAGATCCCATTTAATTCAACATTTCTGACAGAAATAAAGCACACACAAACAAGGATATTACATGTTTTCTTGCAAGGCCAGTTCACAACTGGTACAAGCAAGCACATCCCGTGGGTTCTACTCAAATTCCCAAAGCCCCCACACGCTGCAGATCTGACATACAACTTTATGAGCTCTGAGTTTTGAAAACCCGAAACGTTCACCCCATTCAGAGCGGATGAGAACATCAGCACCCGTTACAGACAGCGTATGCCTACTCGGAGCCGATTAGCGGTCCGGCTGCACCGCTGCTCCCCACGAGCACCGTTCCGACCGCCGCTTGCTGCCATCAAACACGTTCCAAGAGTCACGCTGCGAGGCTTGTAAGCGCACTGGCACAGCCTAGGCGCTCGGGAACAGCTGTGCTGGGCTCCCGCGCTCTGAGAGCGCTGCAGCAGCGCGGCTCACCCTCCGTGCCTTCCTAGCGAAACTTTCGCTGTTGTTTGAGGACACCCTCGCGGCAGCGCTGGGAAGCAGCACCCGTTGGATTCTCAGCAGCCGCCAGCGATGCCTGCGGCCGCAAAGTTAAGCCCGCGGGCCGGCAGCTCGCTGCCCTACCTCCGGATCCCCCCGCCGCTTCTGTCCCAGCCCCGCCACTTACGGTGAGGCCGCCGGGGCGCTCCTCCGGCAGGGCCGAGTCCAGCGAGAAGCCCCTCCGCGCCCAGTACTTGCTGGAGAACATCATCATGGCGGGCTGCATGGGACCGGCCGGGCGGGGCAGCGCCACGCTCTGCTCCTCGCTCGCCGCGCCGCCTTTTATCCGGCCCCGCGGGGGCTGACGGAAAGCCGCCGAGGGGGGACCCGACGCCGCTGACGGAGCCGTGTGCGGGCGGGCGTCCTCGGCCTCGCTTACCTCATCCGCAGAGCCTCGGGGCAGCGGCTGCAGCTCCTCACATCTCAGTGATACTCAGTGAATAGCCCACCGTGGTGGCCCGCCTTGAACCCAACCGCAGAGCCCCAAACCACCCCGTGTTAGGAGCCCCACCAGCCGGCTTTGGGCAGCTGAGATGCAGGTGGCCCTGGGGAGCACGTGTGGACACGGACAGCGGGCCTCAGTACAACACCAACGATAAATAAATAAAAGGAGTGAAAAGTTGCACAGAGTTATTTCCACGTCAGCTTTGATGTGAGGAATTCTTTGATGTAGAAACTCATCTTTCCTCATTTTTTTTTATGTTCTTCAGTGAAAAATGTAGGTAGGTTCAGAGAGGAAGCATTAAGGGGTAGGAGATCTGTCTTATAATGAAAGGCTTAACAAACCTTCTGTATTAGAGCGCGATTGATGACATGGAAAGAGTACTTCCACTGAAAAAGGATGCTTAATTGGAGAAGGGTTTTTAGCAGAGGCAGCAACAGCCGTTTTCTACCTCAGCTATATAAGGGCCAGGCTTGATCATAAGATTTTCTTCTAAGCACAACATCAATAAAGCAATTAATTATCTACGGAGGTGAAACAGTCCAGTATGGATCCTCCAGGTCTGTTTCTGTATTGGACAGCTTCACCTGTCTCTGAGTTGCTTATATCTCAAGGGTAAAGGTTTTTTCTAAAGAATTTGCTTCCTACTTAATATCAGGCCTATAGAGCCTCACAAATTGTAAATGAGCAGAAAGTAATTGCTAAGACAATAACTTGACTACTTGTGAAATAGTTTTAGGATCTTTTATTTCTCTTATACCCGCATACTGAAAACTAATACTCGTTTTGTCACTTACTGTTGTCACTTTTTCTTCCTGTTTTTCCCCTCTCCACATCTCTCACTTTCCAAAACTTTTCCATTGGCTACTTTGAGTAAGCTGTACAGCGTAAACCGAACATCACAGCTGGATTGGGAATGCTCTGTCAGTAAGTTTGTTCAAATACGTGCTCACTTTTCTCTGTTCTGAAGCACCGGGTAAAATGGTCACTGCTTCCCCTTGGAAGTCTCCAGTGGTGCCTTCCCTGCAGCAGCCCTAGTTGGCATTTCATGGCATTCACATACATGCAAAGATCACATGGATTAAGAATGAAAAGTTAAAATCAGACTCTGAAGCTGAAAGACTGAGCAGAGAGCTACTCAAGGAAAGTAGCAGAAAGGCCGAGTTCTCATGGTGCTATGTTTCGTGCTACATCTAAGGCTCAGTTTTAGCATGCTCACTTTATGTAAAGTCAGTGTCTCTATCCTTGCTAGACTCACTATCTTTTACCTAACATTTACATACCTGCGTCTCTGAGGAACCCTTTTTGGTTATAAAAAGAGACCATCTCAAAAGGACAACAGGAAGTTTTATACTGTTTTGTATGATGAGATCATGATGATTTTGTATGATGAGATCATTTACCACAACTAACAAACCAGCAAGAGTTTCAAGTCTAAACCAGCCCTTGTCAGACAGATGAGCCCTTTTGTAAAATGGAAACATATGCCTGATGTTCAGGACTGAGTTGGGATCACAGCTGCTCCATGTAATAATGGTTCTTCCTTTTGCTTGACAATAAAGTTGCATAATATTTGGTTCCCTTACTTGTGCCTGTAATGGAAATCAATCATTTTTGTCTTGCTAACCCACAAAGTTTTGTTTAATTTTTCTAGTTGAGGGAAAGATGGATGTCTGCAGGTGTTAGTTCTGTCTCATACCCAAAGTTACCAAGAAATACTCTCTTTCATGTTTATTCATTATTTTTAATCATAGGAACACAAGACAGGTCTTTGGATTTTGATATTCCTGTTGGCTGTGCCTGAGATACCCAGACATCATTCCTGCTATTGAACAATTTGCAGGAGAGATATTGCTTAGCATTCTCCAAATGTTCCAGTGATGACAACAAGCTTTACTGAGCAGTTTTTTCTCCATCATGATGACAGAGCGCAATTTTATCTGCTGCTAGATGCTAGTTCTGCAGCTCGACACCACACAAATCTGAGATGACCCTGCTACCCTCAGCCTTGCTAATGATCACAGCTCTGTCTGATGGCTGGATCATGGCAAAGATTTTCTGTCTGTCATAACCTCTTCAGAATGACTTGTGAATGCAAAACAAACAACAGTGTGTTGTGTTGGCATAAACTATGAACAGGTAGGCACGAGATGTGTGGTTCAACTGCTTTAGCCACACTGACTCCCCGTGACTGCCACAAAGAGATTGACAAGAAAGTATTATTTTGCAACTCATTCTGTAGGTGGGCTTTTCCATACAAATTACATTGAAGGACACACATTTATAGACTGAAAATGTTTGTTCCTTTGTTCAAGTCACACTAAAATAGAGCTGATATATGGCTCTGGGAATAGTGCTAAGCTAGAGGGTTTGTTTAGAGATCAATCCATTTCTCTGTAGTTCACAGTTCCGTATACATAAACCAAGTAAAAACTTAAAATTGCTGTTCAAAAAAAAAAAAAAAAAAGGAAAAGAAAAGAAAAGAAAAAAATTTGAAGTTCATTGAAGTAGCTATTGAAAGATATCTATTCTATAACGTATTTCAGAGTGCCACATGACAGTATTGCTCTGTAAGTTCACTGAAGTAGCTATTCAAAAATACCTATTCTGTAACATATTTCAGAGTGCCACATGGCAATCTTACTTTGGAAGATGCACTTAATGTTTACAGTAAGAAATAAATGTGCCTTTCTAGCACACAGGGATAAGCTCACTTTCATTTCTAAAAGTCTTCTTATTGCCTATAATCAGAAGTCAAGTAACTCTAAGATCTCTAGTTTACGCACATTTTCCTTCCTGTTACGGGAGAACAAAGTCACAGTTGACTGAACTCCTAAAATGTATATTATGTAAGAAACTCAGAATTCAAGTGGAAAATTAGCTCTAAATTTGAAGTAGATCTGTGGGATGTTTTCAAGTTTCAATCATTTTCTTCTTCTTAGAGGCACTGACTGTCCATTTCAGCATAGCTTTTCTTAAATCTGTTTGTAAAATAGTTTGCAATAGTTTCATGACATATACTAGCAATGGTAAGTCCTTCCATTTCATTTTAGCAGGAAGATAAAATTCACAGTGCACAGTAGAATCATAGAATGGTTGGGGCTGAAAGGAACACTTAAGATCATTCAGTTCCAACCCCCCTGCTGTAGGCAGGGACACCTCCCTCTAGACCAGATTGCTCACAGCCCCATCCAGCCTGGCCTTGAACATCTCCAGGGAGTGACATCCACAGCAACACTGGGCAACCTGTTCCAGTGTCTCACCATCCTCACAGTAAACAATTTCTTCCTGATATCTAGCCTAAATCTACCTTCTTCCAGGATAAAGCCTTCTTCCCTTGTCCCACTGCTGTACGCCCTTCTAAAATGTCCCTCCCCAGATTTCCTGTAGGCCCCTTCAGCAACTGGAAGGCCACTATATGGTGCCTCTGGAGCCTTCTCTTCTCCAGGATGAAGAGCCCCAGTTCTCTCAGCTTGTTTTTTTAAGGGAGGTGCTCCAGCCCTCTGATCATCTTTGTGGCCCTCCTCTGGACCTGCTCCAACAGCTCCATGTCCTTCTTGTGCTAGGGGCACCAGAACTGGACACAGTACTTCAGATGAGATCTCACAAGAGCAGAGTACAGGGGCAGAATTGCTTTGACCTGCTGATCATGCTTCTCTTGATGCAACCCAGACTACAGTTGTGTACACCAAGAATTAATCTGAATTTATCTCTGCTTGCCAGATCACCATGAAGTCTTTGTCTACAGGCTTCCTACAGTGGGAAGGAGAACTTCCAAGTCATCATGTCAGAAAGAAATGAAGCTATGGAGAAGTATCAAAAGAGGCATAAACAAAGGTAGACATCATAGAGATCTAAAAATTGAAAGAAGAATATTAACTCAATAAAAGGTCAGAAGTGCAGGGAGAATAAGAACAGACACATTTATTATTACTGCAAGAGATGATGACACTAGCAGAAAATTGAATTCTTATAACATAACCAAATCATAATTTACACAGGGCTTTGTGAAATCATTTACAAGTGGACTAACCAAGGGGCTTCTTCAACAAGGAAGGAAAGATGTACAATTCCCAGGTTACCAAAGATGGACATGCTAACTCTTACGTACATTTCTCTAAATGAGAAACACGTGATGCAAACATAGATTTTATTTTTAAGTCATGAAGATGAAAGAGGCAAAGTTTTTCAAGCAGCTAACAAAATTATCCCAAGTTCTAATAGCAGTAAGGGGATTTTAATTCACCAACAGCTGTTGTTTGGTATCTACCAAATGATAGACTGACTAGGAAGATATGGAAATACAGGTGATAAAATTTGGTTCAGGATTTGGAAGAAAACAACAAAAGAGAAAACTCTCATAGACTGGATATGAGCCAGCAATGAGGAATGTGTTGAAAATATTATGTAGAATGGGGATTACATTGTCTTTAGCAAAACAGAGGTCAGAAAAGAACGCAGAAATGGAGAATTTCTGAAAAAGATCTAAAATTCAGTGTTATTATAGCCTTCTAAAAAAAGGAAACCCAGTGTAGAAAGACAATTCTTTCCTTCTGCTACTGGTTTTGGCTTGAGTAGGGTTAGTTTTCTTCATAATAACTCATAAGGTGCTGCATTTTGGATTTGTAATCAAAATCACGTTGTTAGCACACCAATGCTTTACTATTGCTGGGGGATGCTTACACATCATCATGGCCTTTCCTGCTCACGCTGCCCTGTTAGTGAGTAGGTTGTGGTGCACAAGAAGCTGAGAGGAAACACAGCCAGAACAACTGACCCTGACAGGCCTAAGGGCTATCTCACACCATGTAGTATAATGACCAGCAATAAAAATATGGGAAAAGAGGAGAGAGATGGGACATTTGGAGTTAATGGCATTCATTTTCCCAGGTGGTTACACGTGATGAAGCTGCGCTTTACTGGAAACAGCTGAGCATCTGCCCGC